CACATTAACCACACTAATCGAGGGATTCCTGTTTTGCATTAAGTTATTATTCCATTTAAAAAATATATCATGTATTTTATTTTGTTTTGGATGTTTGTTGTTGTTGAAGCACCTCTTTTCCCTACTGGATCTCTTAATTATAGCATCAGACATGCACCTGGATGAAAATATAATTTCTGATCAATACGTTTTAGAACTAAACCCATAAAGGTAGGGGAGGGGGCTGTCTGAGCTAGCAAAAACTTTCAATTTATGGATGCTCTGTGGTGTTATCTGGGCATATTTTGAGGCCTAATTGGGAGTTTATTTAAGAGTATGGAAGATAAAAAAAACACTCACAAAACAGCAAAATAATATATACATTCAATTATGCTTTTTATCTGTTCCAAGGGAACTATGTAAAGATACCATGACTGACTTAGTTTCTTCTTTTTTTTGACAGCGAGTACCATCAGTAATCACCATCTGCTTAGACCTTCCTGGCATAACTTAATGTTACTCAATATCTTGTTCAATACCAGGATACACAGATTATTTAGGTCTAAATCACTGACACTAGAGCTAACTTTAGAAATTAGATGCATCTGATAGGCTTATGCCTAAAGATGTACAGTAAACTTACAGTATGATGCATTGCCAATACTAGCAATATGCTATGCAGCATTCTGCCTAAGACTGCAGTGGATCCAGATCTTACAAAGAAACATTTACTCTCATACATTATGATCTTTTGTATATATATGTCTCTTTCTAATGAAGTCACCCAGGACACTTTCAATGTGATCACCATTACATTGTTATTTAGGCAATATTTTGTTGATATCGATAACAAATATCTCTCAAGCTAAGCCCAATTCCATTTGTTCTTCACTGATACATCTATTTTCAGCACTGTGTTTATATCCTTCCTCACAACAACCTTGACTGGCATGCAGGAGGTTCATTGTCAGTATTTAAATTGCCGATCGGTTTGTGCACTCAAGCATCTAAAAGTTAATCTTTGCACCAATGAACCAGGTTTGCAGATTTGGAAGAACAACAATGGCATCAGTTTGCGAAACCATCACATGACAAACACTTCAGGCATTCTAGCAACTAGTGGTGAAAACACCCCCCCATGGACAGAAACAGCCAACTGGTCACCAGAATGTACTCCTGGTTGTGAAGTGTGTTCAAAATCTTTATAAGCCCATCATCATAATTACACAAAGATACACAGTGTAAATGAAGGGAGAAGGATATATTTATAAGCAAAACACACGTCTAACATTAACTGAACAGCAGAACTGTTAGAATGACTATACATTCTATACAAAATATACTTTGCAGTATTCCATGAAATCATGGAAAAATATCATGTCTGTTGAAAAGACACTCATCAATATCAAGGTAGGAGTGTGCAAGTGTAGATAACTGGAAGATTAGATTTAGTGAAAGAACACAGTTGTAATACTCCAGAAATAGGGATTGAGTTTTAAATTACAAGGAAAAATACCTTTAAACTCGGAAAAGTTCATATGATGACTATCAGTAACTGTATTTTCATAGATTGTTTTGTGGAGTTAAGTTTATGAGACATGCTATTTTGGACAGTAAATATTACTTAGTATTTTTCATTTTTAGTTATGTATTGTGCATTATGATTACATATTTATATTAGGTTGTGCTAAGGATAACAGGGTTTATGGAATTTATGTTTAATTCTGAATGCTTAGTACCTGTATGATAGTACTGTGTGCAACTTTTTTAAAAATTATTGCATGTTGTTAATAAATGCAAATTAATCTGTTATAAGTTTGGAGGTTAATTTATTTTGTTATAAACTACTAGCAAATAAAATGGTATGACAATTTAAACACAAATGGTTAATTAAGTAATTTATGTTTGTTAGCTTTGTTGGTGTACAAACACAACTAGTGCAAAAACTGATCATTCCAAATGGTGTATCACTAGTTTGGGGAGGTTTGATTGAAAAAGTGTCTTTGAGAAGGGACAAACGCAGAAGATTTGGTGTGAAGACAAGTGGTGTACATCACACTGCAGAGACTACATGGCTCCTATCTTTTGACAATATGTCTAAAGAAACATAGAAAAAGTACACACCAAGTAGACTTTTGACAACGTGAAGTATTCAGTGTGTTAGAAATGCTGTATGAACTAGTACTGTTAGTGCCAAGGAAAAATACAGTTATAGTTGTAGAGCTACATGACATATTGTGAGAATTATTTTCCTTATGTTTGAGCATGTGTTAGTGTTTCATTCTGCATATTAGCAAACCTAATATGGACATTGAGTAGATACACTATCTATTTGAATTGTTCCTTTAGGCAAACCATATACATGTCCAAATTTATCATAAGATCCACACACACAAAAATTAATTGTTTTGACCCACACAAAAGCAAGGTGTTGTGCTATGTTTAAAGCTAATACAAAAGCAAGGTGTTGTGCTATGTTTAAAGCTAATACAAAATACTGATACATGTAAAACTTATTTTCTGTGATACTGTATTGTATTAAAAAAACAAACTCTATAATTTAGTTGTAATTGCCCATTGTATGTAGCTGTATATATCTGTATATCACCAATATATCTGTATTACACGCTTTTCTACAAATTATTTCCAACAATGTGTATTAAGAAAAAGCCATGTGCAAGATCACACCTACTGCTAAGCTGTTTCACTATCCTTTTTTATACATTCCATTAAAATATTGTAATGGAAATTTGACATGAACCATGTTATAAAGTCATTAATTTTTCTAACAAGTACTGATTTAAGCACAAAGCTTCACACTTGACTATCTATATTGTGCCCAATGCTGGGGTCCTGAGAAGTAATAAAAGGAAGTTTACAGTTGATTTGTATGTATTTTTCACAAAAGTGTTAACAATGGCAAATTGATTTATGTGTTTGTAGCATTTGCCTATTTACTTTTATATTAATACAATTTCCACTATTACTATTACTAAGAAGTTTATACATCTTGAGGCTTTAGAACAATGACTTAAACATTATTTGAGAAAACATTCCTCATACATCAGGTTTTGTTGAAGTTTTAGAATTTACTTTCTGATGAGTAATAATGATTTCTAAGGTTTAACTCACTATAAACTAAACAGTTTACTTGATTTACAACTTCTACTCAGCCCAAATAGTAATAATATGCACTTAATTAATCCCTTCACTTTGTTTTAATATGTTTATCATCTTTAATCATATTTAACCACAGACAGCAAATACATGCTGCTAGGCTGTTAAGTAATTATTGACAGAACTAATAAACACTTGATTATCCTTTTTCTGATGACTCTTGATATGTTTGACAAACATAATAATTACAAAAAGCACAGCAAATTTGAATTTACATTCCAGATTTTGATGTACCAACTTAAAGTTATAGTATGAATATACATTCACATTTGAACAAATGGTTTTCACTCTCTCTAAAATGCTATATGTATAAAAACATAAAAGGTTTGAATATCATATAACAATGTTGAAATTTGTTAAAACTAAAAAGTCTGCTTAAATGTGACATTTGTCTTTGAGTTTATGCTGAAATCAATCCATCTACCACTTCTTGACCAATAATGTATGTATTATTTGTGGAGATTAACAAACAATTGTTAAACTACTATGAAAAGAAACCACCACTCAGTTCAACAGTTCCTTTTATCTAATCTAAGAGGAAGTTTTGTTTCCACAAAAAATAACTAGAGTTCCAAGAAAACTATATACACTTAATTATTTCAAATTTTTTTAATGTTACTGTCACTCAGCAGGTTCAAATGTATAATGTTTCACTCCAGGACCAGGATACTGTTTAGGCATCTGGAAAAATAAAACAACTTTAGAACAATAATAAAAAATAACAGCTTTCAAAGATGCACATAGTACTTGCAAACCAACACATTATCAACAAATTGAACCAGTTTTATCCACAAATTTTTAATGCCAATATATAACTATATATATAGTTCTAGCAAAATATTTTTTCATTTTACATAATAACATATCAGTTGCACCTTCAACAGGATATATTTGAAAGACAATATCTAAGTTACAGACTTACCACTGGATGGACATAGCTGAAGTTTTCAGCAAGAAGAAACAAACTAGCAAGTACAGTCATGACTCCCAAAAACACCATCAACTGAGTGGCACTGAATTCGAAATACAAAACCTATATCAAAATCCTGCTCCAAGAACATATCTACCTTATCCACTGCAAGATACATTGTTCTACAAACAGTGTTATACACTTTCATTAGATCTAAAAACTTTTTGTAGAACAATGTATCTTGCATTGGATAAGGTAGATATGTTCTTGGAGCATGATTTTTGAGGTCTAATGAAAGTGTATAACACTGTTTGTAGAACAATGTATTTTGCAGTGGATAAGGTAGATATGTTCTTGGAGCATGATTTTCTAGATCTAATGAAAGTGTATAACACTGTTTGTAGAACAATGTATCTTGCAGTGGATAAGGTAGCTATGTTCTTGGAGCATGATTTTTTATACACTTTCATTAAACCTCATTACATTAGATGATATTACATTTCAAGGAGGAATTTCATGTAACAGTAGACAAAAGTTTGATAAAAAAGCAGAGTATAATTTTTCAGTTCATGTACACATTAACTGTACCTTTCACCATAAATTTTTTTCAAATATTCAAAAATTTCATATTTCATACAAAATATGTACATCATAAAAATGAATTTATTAAAAATGTCATTTACTCTATAGGTCATATCTGAATTTATTGGTTGGATTGATATCACTCAGAGCTATATGGGGGTTAAATATGCTAGTCAACAGTACCCACCACCAGCTCTTGGACTACTCTATCAGACAAACAGTGTGATTTAACCATCACTCTTATAATGCATTCACAGCCCCTAAGTGCAGAATGCAATTTTTTTGTGGTAATGTGATGTTAACCATGGAATCTCAGTTCCATAGTCTAATACGTAAACAACCTGGCCATGCTCAGCCCTCCCTATTTGGAAACCAACAACAAAGAATGTAAATGATATTTTCAAAACGAGACTCAAAACTCGAGCACTTTCAAACAGTTGACTATTCTTCTTCCTGAAGAATAGTCAACTATTTGAAAGCGCTCAAGTTTTGGGTCTTGTTTTGAAATTATTACAACTTTTGTAGGTGATCCTGTGTGCTAACTACTTAACCTGTATGTAAGTTATTTCTTCCTTCAAGCATAAAATTATTTCTAACACATATAACAGAAAACAGACATGTAAACAAAAGACATTATTGATTAGAAATGTTAAGGTGACCAAATCTACATTTATGTAATAGCTCATTCTGCAGATTAGGATGTTTAGCAACTACTCAAGCCTTATTGGGTAAAATTTTTTTCATTTATAAATAGAACAATTCTAATTGTATGTAACAAATGGATTTTAAAATAATTAACAAAATCTATATTTTCTTTTAACTTCTTGAAATATGGAAAATGCCTATTATATGTCCTATATATATATTAACAATTCAATATGATAGAACCCCAAAACACCAAGACTGCATGGAACAGAGAATAACACTGTAGACATGTAGTGATGTCATCAACCACAACTTAAGATGGAAATTGTAAGAAAAGACACTTTTGGGCTTTATAGAGATCCACAATTTCTAACATTGATGACAAATATTCTTCTAGTGCTTTTGGCCTCTAAATTTAAATATTAAGTATTAAATGAAAAAAACATGATACTTTTTCTACATACTATTCTTATCAAAGGTTTCCAAACAAAACTTACGTGGAGAAACGAGGCTTAGCATTAATGTTGTACCTATCTTCACCAAGCATGTCAGATATCACATGTAGCTATAAAATAAAAAAATGGCTTTAAGATACTGAAATTTGTTGTACCTATATTAACAACCAACAGTCAATGAAACTATTCAATATCTTTTATAAAAAGGCTCAATTTGAAAATGGTTGGTCTTAGTGACAGATTAGTTTTATTTACACTTTAGTTAATTCAAAGGTTCAACTGTAGTATACATTTTTTTCCCCACAAAGAACTGTCTATAAGTTAAGCAATACTTTGTTTTAAAGATCAATATTTTGCCAGCATAGTGGTTGTTAACTTCTACAATCAGTGTTACAAATGTACAACAATAAGCCAGATCATTAATAATGCACCTACCAACCTCGAAAATGATTATACTGTACAGTTAGCAAAGTATTAAAATTTAACAAGATCTAAAATAAACTGATTTAAAATAATGATGCATAAGTTTTGTTTTCTTACTTTGGTTCCTTTATTATCTTTTTCTTATACTATTTTAGCTCCTACTTTTGTACATGACTAAGTCAAGGTCACGTAACAGTTCATTATTAGCAAAACTAATTTTAACTTTTCCAAATGATAATGGCTACCAGTTGATAATTTTTACTAATCCTTCACTACTATTACTAGCCTTCAGAAAATTGTGCTTGCTTTGGGCCATATTTCAAAACAATTCACTTCTTATTAAGAAAAAAAAAAAATTCAATTTGAAACAACATTCCAAAAATTAACCCTTGACTACTTAGCAGTATTGTACACATTCTTTGCTCAATATCAGAGGGTTCTTGCTTCTATAAACATAATAGGGACTGAATTAACCAAAACAATTTTTACGCGCAAATAAATCAGGTGATGATGACAAAACCTTGTCGAAACATTGTACATTTGCTGTTGTGTTAAACTTACATCAAATTTTTATCTTCATTACAAATTCAAGCCATCTCTAACCATTATTAGTCTCAAAGTGGGTTCCTCATCATCAAATGCCTTCCAGGGAAGATATAAAAAGTGTGTGAGAAGCATCAATGGCAAAAATGTCTGATCATCTTTTCCAAGACATTAGTAACAAAAGAAAATAAGTCTTCAGGGATAGATGATAGAGTGAACACCATGCCATAAATTCAAAAGGAGAATACCTTACTTAAATTCCACTTAAGACAATATATAGAAGCTTGTGGGCAATATAAACAAAATGCTTCAAGAAAAAAATACTGAAAAAATGAAGATGAAGATGCATATGACTTCTATAGCAATGGAAAGTAGCAGAGAGTGCAGCTCTGTAGCCTGCAATAGAAGAAGCAGACAAGCCTCAATCATAAAATAAATAAATAAAAAACCTACCAAACTTTAAAGCCCAATCAGATCCTGCTGAGAAGCTTCACTTGACTGGGAAACCAATTCAGGAGTAACACCAACAAAAACAAAAGATTACAAGAAAAAAGCCCACTGGAAGTAATCAGAAATATTAGGGTGAAGATAAATTTCATGTAAAATAGTTCCATGAGCAAATACATCAAAAGAATATGCAAGCCACACGGCAACAGAAACCAAGTCAGTAAGAGATGTAGCCAGAAAAACACATAAAGCTGATAGCTTCTCTTGATAAAGAATCATGAGAACAATAGGTTATAGCCAATAACTAGGCTGAGGAAGAAGAGTGAAAAATGAGCCTAATCAAGACACAAATATGAATATATTGGCATCAATACAGGGTGGAAGACCACATAGAATGAACCTCCAAAAACCAATCAAAGTATCTAAAGTTTGAGTTGCTAAATGAATAGAAGAAGATCCAATTAAATGGTCAGAAAAATGAGAAATGTGTAGCAAAAAATATAAATGAGAATTGCCTCTATTTCTAAAAGCATTAGCTATAACCTGAATGCCAAGAGAAGGAGGAAGAAATAAGGATTCCAAATTTGCATCCCCTAACAAAATGCTAGATCCCTCAGGCTTAAAAAAAAACAAGTTCAACATTCAAAATGTTACATATCTGTTAAGAAAGAAAACACATCCAGCAGAAGCTTCATCAGAATTAAAGGATTGGCTGGTAAATCCTGCTTCTCAGAAAGAAGGTTGTTCATGAATAGAAGAAATAGGGTATTGATCCATATTACTGGCATCCAAAAAACCCTGATACTCGCTAAGGACACCCCCAAAAGACTCAGCATGAATGGCCCAAAGTTATAATTTTCCAATACTGAAAATGTATTTTCGATAAGTATTTACCTCTTCTCACAGATACCACTATTCTCATTCAGTGCTGCCCTCTAAGTCAACTACAATTGAAAACCCAGCCACCAGGAACCAACATCCATGTGGAGGTAGGAAAGAAGATCATACCATCAGCAAGTTAACTACAATCCAAAACCCAGCCACTCAGAACTGACATCCATATGGGAGTAGAAAAGAGGATCATACTGGCATCAAGTCAACTACAATCCAAGACCCAGAACTGGGAACCAACATCAATGTGAGGGTAGGAAACAGGATCGTACCCTTGGCAAGTCAACTAAAATCCAAAACCCCGCCCACCGGGAGCCGATATACATGTGAGGATAGGAAAGAGGATCATATCATCCTCACCTCAAGTTCAGCATACCGGAGGAAGATATCATACCCCCAATCTGTGAACAGGGCACATGATAAAAAGTTATACCAATCTGACATCCGGACAATCATAAAGAGAAGGATGTCCCTATATAGTGAAATATCTCACTCAAAGTCAATCAGACAGGAACCATCCCCAGTGCATTAACATCCTTGGTATATGGAAATGCTTGTGGGAAAGTGCAAGAGGAAGGACCATAAAAATCAGCATGTTCATTCAATGTGACCCACAACAAGGTTGCAGTGAACACGAGTCCAAATGGGTAAGAGAACTGAGACACCCGTAATACATGTATGTGGACTTATGTTGATTGGTCCAGCTCTGAATCCAAAACACAGCCACCGGAAACCAACATGCATGTGGGAGTAGGATGAGGGATCCCAATTGAAGGGGTGAAGTGCAATTTTTGACATCTTACTCCAAAGCTACAACATCCCCTCAGATAAACCCATTCAGAGATGGAACATGAGATCGGAGGACATATCATCTACACCAGCAGAACACCACCGCCTTACGCTCAACTGAATGGATTCCGTATTGTTGGTGTTGTATATATTGATTACATTCAGGAAAATGCCTCCATGGTCCACCACCCCAGTGACTTGGGAGTGGAAAGCAGTAAGGACTCTCAAACTCCACTTGAAGAAAAAAGGGGGAGAATACACAGTGGAGAGTCCGGAGGAATGCCAACACCAGGGGACAATGAAATGGGTAACCATAAAAACCTTATTTTGAAAAGCAGACATATGTATGAAGTAAATATATCATGAGGGAAAAACCTATGAGCAACCTTGTGGAACATCCCATCTCAAGTGTGTGTTAATGGCATGTAAATAAAGTATCTTATAATAGCATCATGGCCATACAGTATGATTTGTGATGCATTAGGTATACCTGGACAGGCAACACTTGCCACAGAGTGGAATCTTAACAGTAAAAAAAGAAAGAAAGTATATAAAAAAGATAACTTACCCAGTCACAGTCTTACCAAAGTTTAAAGGATGGCCACAGGCAGAAAACAGTTCCCAATGAGGAAGAAACAGCCACCTGATACAAACAGTGGGAAATAAACATATGAGGAGTAGCCCACATGATCGCTTGAAGAATTTCCTTCAAAAGATAAAGGAGGTGAGACTCCAGGGAAAAGGTAAGGGCTTGATCTGATGTGACAACAATTGGAACAGATTTCGGGAAGGAGAAGACAAGGAGGAATAAACCAACTGAATCAAAAAGTGAACCCAATTGGTAAGTGTTGAAGAAGAAAGGAAACACAAACAGAGTAATGTTGCCAGGGATTGGAAAGGCAGGAACGAGAGCCACAGAAGAAAGCCTTCCAGGAAATGTAACAACAAAGAGCACATACTGGACACAGAAGCCTATCCAGATCAGACCAGTAATAAAGGTGGGAGATGGAAGGAAACGAAATTGGTGAGAAGGAAGAATTACCTTCACAATCTGCCAAAGTCTGGGGAAGGAAAAATCGATCCAAGTAAAGGAGAACACATGTGGAATGGAAGTAAAATAAAAGAGTGAAAAACCAAAGTGACATCTCAATCTGGAATGATCGTTAGACAAGGTGGTCTACAAATCTGGAAGGAATGCAACAACATGGAGAGGGTAAAGTAGGTAAACACAAGATGGTACCAGGAAAAACAGAAGGTGTGTAATAAGGCTGCTCAATATTCAATGATGGATGAGACCAAAGTGCTAGGATTGAATAGCCAAATGAGGAAATTGGTATTAAGAGGAATGGTGGGTCGAGAAGGGGAAAACTTCCATGCAATGACCAATGTTGGAATATGTTCCATGGATGTTCATAATCTGTCATTGAGGAAGAGTGAATGGAACAAGTCAAAAAGGGAGCAACCCACCAAGACAATCTAAATTACCTCACCAAGGTCCTGATAAATGCCAGGTGTGAAGAGGGAAGGTAGGAAGGGCAGGATGAAATACTGTTGACCGAGGTTTATGTGGAAGGGATGGAGTGAGAGGAAGTGGCAAAAGAGGGGCAGTACAGAGTTCAAGTAGATGAGGAAACCATTGTTGTGCCGGAGAGTAAAGAGCAATCAGAAAAACCAAACATGGAGTGGCATGGATGATTGAAGTATAACTTCAGAATCCAACCCACTTGAACAGCGTCTGACAAAAGGAAATGAGTGTGATGTGAAACCTCCATGTTGGATTGAGTTAACAGAAGCCAGTTGTCCATGTAGTGGTGTAAGCACAACCCCCGTGAGCATGCATAAGTCAAGCAAAAGCCTTGACCACACAATAAAAGACATACAGAGTCGAAGGAAGCCCAAAGGGTAAAGCTCAAAACAGGTACACAACTCTGTGAAGGACAAACTGTACATAGCATCTGCACTTATGAGAAATAAGAATGTGTAGATAGACATACTGGACATCAACCTTGGTCATCCACAATCTCAGAGAGAAAAACCCACCTTAGTGTGAGAAAGGACCCTATTGTAAAATAGGGAAGATACAGAAATTGATTGAGGTGGGACAGGTCGATCACAGGATGCCAGTCCCTGTTTTTCTTGGGTACCACAAACAACCTGAGGAAGGATGGGTAACGGGCTCGTTGGCTCTCTGTGATACCACCTCTGACAGACATTGACTGGTAATAGGAAACGATGAGACCTGCATTAGTTCAGGTTCAGATAAATGAGCAAAGGGTCAAATGTTGCCTCACCAATTCCACACATGATACCAAAGTGTCAGGAATATTCCCAAAAATGAACTGTTAGAGGAAAGGAGATATCTGAAAATCCCCAAGGTAAGTAGACAGTAAATGAACCTGGGACAAGACAGCATCCCTCCCCAGAAGGTCCCTGCAGCAAAGAAACCACATGTGGAGAGAGAGAAGGCCAAGGAGGACAATAGCACCTACTTAGAGGGAATCAAGGAGAAGGTATACCCCCAAAAATCCTTCAGTAGGTCAGTGGAGTGCCTCAGACAGGATAGTTAGGGTACAATGAACCACATGGAAAATGATAGAGTGGAGAATTATGGGTGACACATGTTCTGCAATGTGTAAAGGACATTTGGAAATTTTGAGTCACATATTTTGATGACACCATGAGTTCATACTCAACAAGGAAAGGCTTTCAGTATTTCAGAGTTAAGTCTAACTGCTTTGAACATGGCTTTCCAATCAGGCAGTTATGTGTACATAAATAGTGAAGTTAGTAATATTTGTAACTTGCACTGTAACAATTATATAATTCTCCAACTCACAAAAGGATAGTTATATATATATATATATATACATACACATATGAAATTAATATGTGAACTAGACGTAACAGATGCGCTTCTGTCATTTTATTCTTCTTTTATGTTTATTAAAATGAGTAAATTTGCTTATCAATAACAAACATTCTTATTAAAAATTTAGGAAATGCTCTTACAGGTTCACCATAGTTTTTCTTTAAAACTGGAAAGTCCCAAGCATAATAAGGATCTCTTGCTTCACCAGAAATAGGTGGAAGTTTGGGATAGTCACCATACCCATCTCCATCATCAGGATATGGTACATAGTCTTCAGGAATTAAACCATACTTCTTTGCTGCAGCAGCTCGTTCTTCAGGAGTCTTAGGATAGGGCCCTGGCTTCCAGTCCTTGTTCCATGCTGGTAATACAAATTCAAACTATCAAACTTAAGATAATGATATTTTATTAAGAGAACCACATGAATAAATACTTTGTTGTTATTGATATGGGCTGATTGAAAAGTGGTTTGAGGAATCTGATATATTTTCTCATTTCCCCCTCAGAATGCAATATAAGTGACAGCATGAGAAATAGAAAGAATCTGGAATCAAGTCCATCCCTAATGCAAACAGTAGAACAGAGATCTTAACATCTTTATTATACCATATCATTATAATTTTAGTTAACTTTTACAAACTCTATGTCTAAATATGTCCAAAAAATGCCTCAAAAAGTTAGAACATCACACCTTTGAACTTAAAGAAATGACTCAATACAGTTTATTCACTTGAAAAACTTTAACATAATATCATTTCCATGTATATTACCCTAAGTTTAATACACACCATTACGAATTGCCATAGTACTATTGACAGTTTATGTATTATAAAATCAAATCACTCAAAAGGTTTTTAACTTGTTGTGTGCATGTCCTATATTTCACTTGCAAACCTCTCATACACTGACAATACATTACATGTGGCCATGTGGTGATGATAGTAGAAATGCAAAAAATAATCCACAGATCATTTTTGTAAGGTATGTTATACATATACATTTTACTATATAGTTGTCAGAAACATTAAACAACCTTGTGGTAATGGCTAAAGATGGGTATATAATTAAGCCTGGGATACTTTATTTGAATGTTTAAGCAGTTTTTGTAACATTTAATCAGTGCTGACTCATTCTTGAAAAAAGTATGTTTTAGGTATCTTAATATAAAATGGATTACTATTTATTGCATTGATTTTTGAAAATCAACCAAATGTCCTCCAGAATGGTGTAGAGCAGAAGAAATCATAAAATCTCTAGTCTGCTGCATATACATGTAATGGAGTTAGCCACTCCCACATTAGTAAGAAAACAAGAAAAAGCAAAGTATATAAAATAACATTTGATAAATTGAGGTCATTTCTCATCTGCACACAAAATTACATTAAAATTAAATGCAGCACTTCAAGGTAAGAGTTCCATATGGCACCCCCACTCAATTTTAAAAAAAATTCATCAAAGTAACATTTATGTATTAATAAATCATATTAATAGTATGATCTGATAATTTTGATACATTATTATACCACTTACTTCATTAATTAGATGTACAATCTTCTTGGTGATAAACTTTACAAATGTCTTGTATAAAGGCATCAAAAAGGCTACTTTTATCAGAATATAATGTTCTCCACATGTATTCACACAAATGCTTGTCAAAGCCATGCCCCAATTTTTCTAATATGCCCCTTAAAATAAACTCTTTTCAGAATATTTTTTATCCAGGCAATTCTACAATTTTTGGGTGGGGATGCCATATGGAACTCTTTCCCACTTCAAATATATATATATATATATATATATAGACCTATCCAACCAAAATTAAAAAGAATTCATAAAATGTCAGTCTACATGAAGGCTTTCACAGCTTAAATATATTATCTGTAATATTCAAGCTCATATCTCCAACCTTTTCATTCCTTCACTCAAATAGGTCAAACAAAAGAAGAGTATTAAAACTTTTAACGATTTAAAACATGTGAACTGAGTTTGTTTTTTTATATGTATGCCCCAGAGAAAAAAAGTCCAAAACTTTTAGTCTAAATATTAGTTTAGTAACTTCTCTCTGTACTCAATTAAACACATCAAAATTCTTCAAGGAGACTAAAATTGCACTCAGTACTCTTTAAGACAACTTGGTTTTACAAAAGATTACATTAAATATTAGAAGTCAACTGTTAAAGAAAAACTAAAATAAACCTTTTTAGTACAATTTTTTGTTTAGATACACTAGTAACCTACATGTTGTGCTAATCATTTTCTAAACATTGATTCAAACATGATGCTTTTAAATCAATGATTTTATATTGAATTCAGGATCCAGTTTAAGATTACTGGATTCTAAGTTTAACTAACTTGTGAGGTGGTATTCAGTTTTTTTTTAATTACGATGTTCAAATCTACATACCTTTTCCCTCTATTCTTTTGTTGATCTTTCTCCTGTGTTCATGTATAAATGCCAACTCACACTTCATACAAGTAACACTATTTTACTAGGAGATAAAATGACTGGACTAGGTGGCAACAATATTTGTTGTAGTAGTTGTATATAAGTTAATGTGTCATCTATGTAAATAACATGTACGGTTAATAACATGTTTTGTCAAGAGACAACAACTGTTCCATGCTAAATTATAATCTCGTTACATGGTAGCACAAAAACTATTAAAATAAAAACTGAACTGAACAATATGTCTGGCACTAAAGAACATATAGAATAGCACAAATACTGCTTGAAACTTAGTTGGAAGCACTGAGAGTTGTAAATATCCAGACAGTTTGTAAGTATTGTATCGTGAAAAGTAGGGGGTTTCAGTGATACTTAAATAATGAAAATAATAAAAAATGCACATGCAATTGGATTCCACAGTCACAAATTAGTATATTTGCACTGCAAGTTAAATTATTTAGTTCATAATTAATGAAAAACAATTACAAATTGACCTTTCGCTCCACACTACCTTCTCATTGGAACAATGTTAACAAGATGTCAGTGATTTATTGTTTTATCTGGTAGCCTGATACTGTGTGACACTGTCAACTGAAGATAAAATGTAGTCCTATTAACATCCATCCATTTCAAACTCATACAGGTGTATTCATATTATATGGATAAATAAAATGAAAATTATCAATAACCAAATGTTAATAATGAAGTAAGAGCTTACCTATGAAAACATAGGTGAGATTTTATAATCAAATTGGTTGTAAACTTGAAATACCATGATTAACAGGTATGTATCAGTAGTAACCTCTACCCATTCTACATCATGTCATGAAGTAATTGATACATCATTCATAACCACATCCTACAATATGATGTTGTGCAAACTATTTTCAGGACAACATACTGTGCTTTTGACTGACAATATGATGTAAAGCAACATACACGCTATTTACAATCCTTATTTATCATTTATTGACATGCTGTCTGTTTGAATTGGGCAGACATATCTATGTATCGGATTATTCATTTTGTATTCCACAACACCAAGTTCATTGTATACCCTTGTTTCTATCAATTCAATGACAAAAAAAGAATTGTAAATGGTTTTAAAGTTTTATTTGTGTGTTTTCAAATAGTAAATGCTTCTGGATCCAATGAAACCAGCCAGATTAAAGTAAAACATGAAAAAGCTATTGTTTGATGTATCACTGATCCTTATTGGTCCAGCCAATTCGAGCAGACACCCTGGTTTCAGTTTTAACATTCACTCATTGACAAATGGTGGACAAGGATTTCAGTGATCTTCTAAATATTTTTTAAAAGCTGATTTCAGACTAGTGGGAGCATGTTTGCCTTGAAATAAATCAAGCAAATTCCATGTGTACTAGTGCTATAGACACTTTCCATTTGTTGTTTGGTGCAAAATAATTATTATTTTATTTATACGAGATTTATATATTCAAATGGCAATTTCATATTCACACACTTCCATGGCCAGGAACTATAATTCTCTGTTATCTTGTACAATTTGTAGTACAAGTTGTATCAAAATTACATTACTGATTCAAAAATTCTTTGAAATTTTATAAACGTTCTTTGTAAAAGTCCAGGCCCAGCATTTTGAAATGTAAGTGTATTTGTTTCACTCTTGAAGTCCAAATAAATATTTTTTTGGTGTTTTAGGAATCCTGGTATTAATTAACTTTAAATCCGAGAAAGCTTCCTATTTAAATAGTTAGAGTAAAACTAAAAATTAACCTAATAGTAGTAATGAGTATAGCTAACTAAATATACTTCTCAGACGTTCTTACTTGCAAGTTATATTATAATCTCATTGTTGGCTCATTATTAACATTAACTACATCTACACAATATTAATTACAACTAACCTGCAATATCTGTTACTGTACTACTACTACTTAGTCTACTAGTACTAGTATTATTATTAATACTACCTCTAGCAGTTGTACTACAGACTATAGTCTATACTACATATATAGTAATAGTTAATACTAATAGTAACAGCATTACTATAGCTACAACGAGACTATAACTTTTCCTTCATGTAACATATGAAAGCATACAAAGATTAAAATCAGGTAACCCATTCAATTACATTTTTCTGTTATTACTTACCAGCTACGTTACGAGAACACCCCAAAAGCAATGCATTTTTATTGACCTTCAAAACAAGTTTTCTTAAAACCCCAATCCCAATTACATACGCCATGTTTGTTATCGCTACCTGGCGATTAATAACAAAAGTTATAATTGACCCCCTACATTATAATATATGATTTTAATTATAATCTATGTTTTTAGTCTCAGAAATATAAATTTTAAAGTTTCGTGCTTACTATCGGTGAAATAATAATGAAATCATTAGAAAGTGTTTCACACTTTAATTATTTTTACAGAAGTCAATCACTAACTTTTTAACTATTTATCTCAATAACATATTCTCAGTCATTTTATTACTCTAGAAGAAATACTTTTCTCTATTCCTTGTTGATAAGCGCAAAGCTACATAACAATTTATTTATACTCTTCTCAGCGCGGATATCGAAATCGGAATTTTAGTGTAATAAGCCCTCAAACTTTCCGCTGCGTGTTGGTTATTTGAGACAGAAACTTCAAATACTGGGTTTAGTAAAAAAAAAAAAAATGTTTAAA